TTTAGGGTTTAGGGTTTTGAGAAGTCTTCCTTACTCGCAAACCCATGCTTCCGATCCCAGGAACCGGGATCCTCGCACCCGCGCGGTCCTTGCCGGCAAGACGGACGCCCAGAAGAAGCGGTTGAGCCTTTGAGGCATGCATCTTGCCGGCATTCATGCTCAACAGCAGTATCTTCCCCGTGAGATGACAATGAATCTCGATGTCCACTACACCAAAACCCCGAATACGAAGACAGAACTCTCTGGATATGTCCCTACTCCTGAGCCTTAAACACTCCTGTAAGACCTGTCTCTCACGAGACTTGGCTGTCCGACGCTCGCAGGATGGGCTTTCAGTAGCCGTACCACCTTCCGTAGGTCCTCGGCAGACGGGCTATACTACGTACTCCCTACTGCTGTTCACCTGCTGCTTCTCCAAGACCACACACTGCCACCACCAAGGCGCGGAGTAGCAGCTTTGCTAGCAGTGATCGTCATCGTACCAGTGGTCTCCAATACTACGGATTTGGCTCTAGTAGTCAATAGCATACTCACAGAGGTAGTGCAGGTCACGTGCGGGTAGTAATGCGATGGTCGTCATCGAAGCGGTCGCGGTAATCGTGGTCGGCGCCGTCATGGTCGTCGTCGTTCCCCATCGTGATTGCGGTCGTGTGGTCCTGTTCGTCATGCTCGTCGCTAATGCTGTCGCAGCATGCAAGCAGCAGTGGCAGCAGCGTTAGTTAGTACCGTTAATAGCAGCAGTTCTGCGCGTCTTTATCGAGCCAGCATGGCCAGCATCGGGTCGTCAGGTGCCTTTGGCGCTCAACCGAAACCACAAGTCCCCTTGCAGCCACTCCGGACTGTCTCCAAGAAAAGAGGACCAACCTTCCGGGGTTTTTGTTTTTACAGGCGGGGGGGGGTCTATTTTTCCCTGGCTGTAACCATAACAAAACTCCTAGGAAATGGCTAGTTAGTTATTACTTGGAGGTTCATGGGTAGTNNGTAGGGTTATAAGTAGGGTAACTATCATCAGAACCCATATTAGGGGACTTACAACCCCACTTATAACTACCCATGAACCCCCAAGTAGGGCCCGTGGGCCCTGATGTTGCCTCAGCTGCGAACCTCCACGCAAGCAGAAAGCATGGCCGCGTCCGGTGCCTGCGTCTCAGATCCGATCATGCACTGTTTGCATCGCAAAGACAGTATAGCAAAGTAGTATAGTATGGTACAGCATAGAAATAATACGACATAGTCTGGTGCAGTATAGTTTCATATAGTATAGCATCATATCGCACAGTATAACATAGCATCTTATATAATAGTAGAGTATACTCATAGCGAAAACATGGCATCTGGACTTCCAGGAGTGATCAGGAGACCCGCGCGTCGGGTTCCAGGTCCAAGGCTTCGGGCCGTGGCTTTGGGGTTGAGGGTTGAGGGGTTTAGGGGGGTTAGGGTTTAGGGTTTAGGGCCTAGGGGGGTTAGGGTTTAGGGTTTGGGGTTTGGGTTTAGGGTTTAGGGCTCAGGGCTCAGGTGTTTAGAGCTTTCTTTTCTGTGTGATCGCCCTTTGTTCCGCCAGAGGGCTTTGGGCTTCGGCACGATGAGGTGAGGGCAGACGATTCACGTCTCAAGTCTGCCTCGGGCCTCCGGCAAGCCAGGTGGATCTTTTGCCAGGGCCTCCCACGGAGAAGCCATGACTAGACTTTCAGATACGTGTCTTTACTATCCTCCCTGTCCATGCTATGATATACGGGACGAAAGTACACAAAACCATACTATCCAGGGGCTAACTGGGGGTTTCCGAAAATAGGGGACCCTAATATAGTACCCCAAATAATAGGATCCTTATTATAAGGACCCAAAAAAAAAGGTACCCCTAATTTTCGGAAACTCCCAACTACGCCGACACAAGGGCCAAAGAAGACGAGGAAGCGGGGCCTTGCCAGCGAGTCCCTCGTCCAGAAAGCCACGCCAGGCGGGGCAGAAGCGCTGCTTGCCTGAGGCCACTTGTAGACTCAGGTAAGCAGGATTAATTGGGTCTAGGGTTTAGGGTTTAGGGTAAGCATGATAGTTAAATTGGGCTGTCGCTTTGGCTATCTCATTTACCACCCCCGCTATGCAGTCCCATGATCATTTGTGCAAGATGCTAGCCTATACCATACTATACTATACTACACTACACAAAACTACACTATGCTATGCTATACTATATCATACCGTACCATACTACACCAGACCCAGCCATACGTACTTTATTCTACCACCCTATACTACACGTTATTATACTACCCTATACTAACCCTAAACCCTAAACCCTAAACCCTAAACCCTAAACCCTAAACCCTAAACCCTACTACACACTTCACCCCACAAAAGGTCCAGGGCAAGCAGCCGGCCTCGCGGTCGGCAGCGCAGCGCGGGGGGGACGGCGTGCAAGGGAGCCAGGCCTGGGGCCCGAAAATCGCCCCTTGGGGTTTGGGGTTTAGGGTTTGGGGTTTGGGGCTTAGGGTTTAGGGTTTAGGGTTTAGGGTTTAGGGTTTAGGGTTTGGGGCTTCAAGAGTTTAGGGTTTAGGGTTGACGTAGGGTTCAAACAGGGGTTTAGGGCCACAGAGTAGAGTAGAGTAGTGTTACAATATAGCCTAGTATCGTATTCTACAGTATACTTCAGTTTCGTCTACTGTAATACACGACAACACAGTACAGTAGCTGTTCGTGCTCCGGGCTGGGGCTGCCACTAGGGTCTGCCGCTGTGGCATGCACCCATGAAACAAAGGTAGGCTGAGCCTTGGCTTCTGGACGTCTCCGGGGCCGCACAGATGCACAGACCGGCTGGGGTCCGTGCGAAGCCAAACTCTTTCGATGGGTTGATCCTCAGAGCTTTCTCATGCTTTTTCTGCAACTGACGAAGATCCACTACAAGGTCTCTTGCAGACGAGATGCTGCTCAGCCACATTCAGGAGCACCGCAGTGGAACTGCAAAACCTGAGCTACATACGCCCACTGGCTGCGGCGTTGGGACACGGGGCCTCCGGAGCTTCGCTGAGGACCATGCTGCCGATTCAGCGACATGGTCAGGTGGATGGACAAAGCTTTGTTCCTGCATTGTGAATCTCATCTCCTCTCGGTGTGTACAAGCCCTCAACCCAGCAAAGCGCCAGACTTCGCAAATCATGTGATAGGTCGTGGTTGGAAGGCTAACTTGATCATAGCCATGCCACAGAGGAAAGCTATCCAAAAGGGTTCAAGGGCTTTGGGCTTCAACACAAAGGTGTGCGGAAGGTATCCATGGTTGTCGTCAGGCTTTTAAGGCTGGAATGTAGCGCAGCCGAAACTCCTATGTCACGGGGCGGCGAGCAATTGCTTCATGCGCTACACCATGCACTCTGATACAAGTGGACGAGCCAGCACTGACGCCTACCCCAGGTATCCCCAGGTCAATATAAAGGTGAGGATAAGACTACAAGGCTACTGTAAGGCTACAATAAGGTCACTAAAGGGATACGTCATGATGCCTCGGCTTTATAAGTGCTATACGCTGCTATACGTGTTTCGAAAATCACTACTGGGCTGGACGCTAAGCCCCTAGGCTGCCCTGTGCATGCACTTCTGAGGTGCCGGCGCTTGAGCGCGGTGGACCTCTTACAGACAAAAGGAGCTCCTAAGGCGGAGAAGATACTAGAGAGCCAGTTCGCCTGCAGTGCTCTTCGGGGTCCGCAATGTCTGCAAAGCTCTCATTAGACGCAGAAAGGCCTGCCCCACAGGCAGGTAGAGAGCATCTCCCTCACGGAGCACCTAAGTGAGGTACGCCGTGGGGCAACCCTTCCTTCCTGGCTTTCCTGCGGCTCTGAAACAATCAGCTAAACTTACACCTCAATCACTCCCTGACAAGTTCTGGAGACTTTTCGATTGGTAGAAGCTGCGACACCGGGGAACTCGCAACTGCTGGGCTTCGTGCGACTTCGCTGCAGTTTGCTACGTCTTCGGCATCGTTGGGGATCTGCACTGCGAGCTCTTTTGCGGAAGAAAAGCACTGCCTTTGAAGGTTCCCCCCCCCCAACTGCAAGACTTGCGAGAGACTTTGGCTCTTGTGTTTTGAATCACAGAGGCAGGTGTCGGCTGTTCACGGACCTATGGCGCACAGATTCATGCACACGGGGCATATGCCAAGCGAGGCCGACCATTGGTGGGGCCTGGTTGTAGGTGAGGTTCGCAAAGCTGAAGGCATTTGGAAATCTGCGGCCACAGATCTCCCAGGTCCTTTTGGGAACAGCTGCAACGATTCTCGCTCACAGTCATAACCAGAGCAAGCAGAAAGAGCTGAACTGAAGCGTTTGGGGGCTCTGCTTGTTGCCCTCGACCTGGAGGATGATTGCGTCACTGGGATCGAAGTGATAGCCGAAGCCTGCTCCCATCCAGGCCATGTTCGACAGGCGATGCTTGGAATGCGCTCGCAAACGTGCTCGCACGACTTTTTGAAGCTTACAATGCAGGTATGGCAGGTTTTCACTTATGTGGATCGTGAACCTTGGACCCTGACCCCCTAGCCACAGCCCCAGACCAGACCTACAGCAAGCGCCGGCGTAGTGTAGGAGTTGAGGCCTCGCAGACTTCGGTAGACTCACAGCACAGTGCCTGCCGCTCCACGCTTCGGTGCCTCCCGGCAGGCCGAAGAGGAGGGCAGCTCGCCGAAGGTAGCGAGACAACCTGGAAGCCCGCCGCTCTCAACTTGGGAGCTAGGATTAGGGGGACCCTTGGGGATATAGACCCTCTCAATAAGGTCCCTTTTAAGAGAGCCAAAATTAGGGTTCAGAAGGGGTACCCTTTAAGGTGTACCCCTAATAATACTACCTACAACTGAAGGCATTCCCGAACATCCCCGAACTCTTCCGACGTCTTCCCATCGTGATGGGGCTCCCGACAGGGCATCCCCACGGTGCACATGGTTCTGCACCAGAGTGAGGTTCCGCCGCAGCCTCGAGGAGAGAATCACGCCGCGAATTTTCAGGGCTGCTCTGAGGTTTCGGCGATTCAGCGTTTGGGGTTTTGGTTGGGGTGGTTTGGGGGTCCCAACCTCAGGGCCTTTGTCCTCGCGTCTCTCAGGTTCGGGCGCACGCTTTGCACGTCGGGCAGCATCATCTGCCGGACCGGCATCCTTCAGAGAGGAAGGTTTGGCATCTATGCTTTAGGGCCAGGGCTTAGTCTGGCGATGCCACAGTGACCATGAGCGCCAGGCGTAAGTTGGGCGTGGGATTCCGAACTCGTAGGCCTTACACACGGAGCACCCAAGGACAGCGGACGAGTGATCAATGTGATCTCCAGGCCTTGAAACCGCCCAGGACTGCATGCTTCAGCACAGACTTGAAGCCCCATATCCTGGCAAAACGAAGCAAGGAAGGGCTTGTCACAGCTTCTTCAAATTTCCTCGGGACATCCAGTCTTCAGCGAGCTTCTTGCCGAACCGTTCAGTGGGTCACTGCAGGGAGTGGCAAAGCTAGGGGTCCCCCTCTAACGCTATGTCAGGCTGCAGCCGTGCTCCTGCGCAAGGAGACATCAACACACCCTTCCCGCCTGCGGAATGTCTCGGCGGCTTTGGTAGAACCCGGCCTCAAACGCACTGCGCTGCACTCCAATCCCGCAGACCCCAAGCCCAGCACGGGAAAAGACCCTGAAACTGAAAGGCCCATCTCGCGCCATGCAAGCCATGCAAGAGTAAAACCCAAACCCGACCAAAGCTCTGCACACCGAGCACAAGCCCTGAAAACAAACCGAAGGAAGAAATCCCAAAATCGAGCGCTGCCGTCTAACTTCCCGCCAATCCCGCAGACAATCGTCTTTTCTGTTAATCGTTTTGTTGCGTTGACCACGAGCATTGAATCGCTCTGTGCAGACCCTGACAATGCTGTACATGTACGTTTCTGTCCATCTCTCTACCTACCTATCAATCTGTCTAGCTGTCTGGTCAGCTAGCTATCTATTTATATGTGATATGTCATTCGACTAACTATCTGTCTATCTATCTATCTATCTATCGATCTAGCTAGCTTTCTGTCATTCTTTCATCTCAATGTATCTGTCGATCCATCTATCTGTCTATCACGCACTCTCTCTAGGAAGCATGTGTGTTCTCGTAGACACTGACTCCCGCTTGTTTGATGGAACTCTGGTTAGAAAGGAAAAATAAGGTTTATAACAAGACAAATTGCGTCTAGAGTTACATCAGATGTTCCCCCACTGTCAAAAGAAGGGAAGGCGGAGTGCATGCATCGCTGAATTTTTCGAGGGGTTGCAGTCCTGACCCGCATTGCACAAACAACAACGATGATTAAGAATGCCAAGATAAGTAGCTGAGTAGTTTTCACAATCAGTGCTGCTGCAAAGCTTCTTACACATCATCTGCCGATTTTACAAGTCGAAGTCTTCAGCAGATCTAAGCTTTGTTCAACGAGGGTTTTCCCCGCGTGTACCCTAGGTGTTGTCAAGAACTTTGGCTCAGCCCGGCACGCAATTGCTCAGCAAAACAAGTGCACAGCTATACATGAAACTCCTAAGGGAGAACCTATGTAGTATCATCTTCTTGGGCGTGTTGACGGGGAGTGCTTGGTTCTTTGGCTGATACATGAGCGTCCAGTCCTATGGGAGCTGTTAAAGCTAGAAGGCAAGGTTCTGTGCTGTAGGAGCTTCCCCCGGTTACGTTGCAAGAGTTCGAAACAACAGTGCAGAGAGCGGTAGTAAGGCACATGAAGTAGTTATGCAAGGTTATAGGTTACGAGTTTTGTTGCGAGGATTCCCCGAGGCTGTTTCTGGCCATGTTGTACGGAAACAGAGGCACAGCGCTCCATACGGCCCCTGAGGGGGCTAACATGTGTAAAACCAATACTAAGGCCAGAAACAGATGTTGAGGTTTTGCCCCCGATGCAGTTATTGGTACAAGAAGTCGTTTGCACCATTCTGTTGGACAACAAAGGAAAGAAACAGCCTGAATAGGGGAAACAGGTAAGGGGCACAATGGTAGGGTATATTCGATCTTTGAGGTGCAAACTGATTGCGAGGTTTTCCCCAAGAGCGGTCCTAAGTTAAGAAGCTTAGGACTACGCGACCTCAAACCTAAGGTGCAAGAAGGGACCTTCGGAAGGGATCCGCGCTCGAGGTGCGTTGAGGGTCCAGATACAGCTCACTCCCCCGCTATGTTGTGTTTTGGCTCTCTTCAACTGCGAAAACAAGAACAGGAAAGTGACTCTTTGGTAAGAGGGCAAGGTTGCTTCAGTTGGAGCCAAAACCTCCTTAGGGGTCATTTCCCCTGCAAGGTGCTGGGGGCATATTCCCCCTAGTGACTACAGGGAAACGGCGCACTCAGTGTATTTCCCCCTGCCGTTGGTTGGCTCAGTCGTCGTGCCTGGCCGCGATCATTCTCCTGCGCCTATGGGAGACCATGCTCTCTTCCTCGTCATTCTCTGCTGCAACAGTATGGCTTCGTTGGTCGGTTCCTGGGGCGTTTCCAAGACCATGGTGACGTTCATGTAGCCACCATTCCCCCTGTTCGACGTTTGCGAGGGTTTGCTGACCATCCCCTGGTAGTCCTGGATCGGCACCTCCAGGTAGAAGAAAAGTGGGTCCACCGTCACCGTCTAGTAGTGCAGAATCGGGTGCTCCAGGTAGAGGTGAGGTGTCCCCCTGTTCCGGGATCGCTTGGTTTGTGACTGGCAACGGATTTCCCCCGGATGGCTGGAGGAGGTTTTCCACTTCCTCCAGGGTCTGTAGCAGTGCTGCATGGAGTGTGTTGAGGTCCAGTGGCTGCCAGCTGTGAAGGTGAGCGGAGGTCCTGGAGCTCCAGGATGATCCCCCATTTGCGTCTTTCTCTGACCAGGTTGGAGGTGAGGATCCCCTTGCTTGTGGCCATGACGTCCGCTGGATGGGCGATGTTTTCGCCTCGGTGCCATGCCTCCAAGAATATCACGACATCGGCGAGGAGAACCCAGTACTCGGGCTTATCATTATCGCCCTGTATTATCTTGTAGGGCACGGCCAAGTTCACGGACGATTCGTCTGGATTCTGGTGCAGCTGCGGCGATGAAGTCGCTGATGTCGACGAGGAGCTTCCCCGGGCGCTAGATATGATGCTATTTAGCCATGCGATGACAATGTCGACGTCATGCTGTATATTTATAGTAGGATATGTAGACGTGTACCCCCTCGGCAGAGGCCAACCTTCGTTGTGCTTTTGTAAGTAGGCGGCGGAGGGCTTGGGCCGCTGGGGCTGCTTGTGTCTGCTCGGTCTTCTGCTTTTTTGGGGGTGCTTGCCCGAGGATTAGTGTAGTGTTGGTGTCTGCTGTAGCTGTATGTTCGATCTCCAAGTCGTGGAGGAGCTGGTGTTCTGTTTGGCTGTCGACCAGAGGTCTGCGAGGGCGCATTGAGCCAGTGTTGCGATGGCAGATCCCCCGGGTAGTCGTGCGGCCAGGTGCTAGATCCGCTAGAGTTGAGTTTCAACTCCGTCTGTGACTGTGTCCGGGTGTGGTGGTGCCGTGATTGCTTCCCCCGAGCTGTCGTGCTGTGTTTGCGACCCCTGGGGCCGTCGGGGGGGGTTGGTGGTTGTGGCCGCTTGCCGTGCTGGGTCGGCCTTGTTGCATCAAGTCGGCGTGGTCGGTGTCAGCTGTGATGGCGTGTCTGTGTCTGGTTGAGATTGTGTGCTCTGGGTAGTCGTCGAAAGGGCTGCTGTGGTTGTTGTCGCGGACGTGTTTGGGGTTGTGTCGGGTGGCGGTGGCTGTCTGTGATTGCCAATGTGTCTGCCGTCCCGAACATATGCAAAGGGGTCCTGCGATGGTGTGGTGGTTTTGTTGTTGGGTGTGGGTTGTGTCGTGTTGTTGGCTCCGCTGTTTTGGCTCGGCCTGCTTTGGTCCCGCTGGCCGCGTCGTAGTTGTCTGCCATCCAGGAGTGGGTGCCTCCTTTGCTGTGGTCGCAGTGGTGGCCGCTTGGGTGTGGCTTTGGGTTTGCTGGGTTGTGGTTTGGGGCTTGTGTCTGCGGTGGTGTCAAACCGGACATGTGTCCGGTTTAGTGTCTGTTGGTGTGTGTGCTGTGGGCTGGAAGTGGTTGACTGCTGGGCTGGTTGCGCTGTCGCTTGGTGACTGCTTCACATGTATCTACATACATGTACACCCCACAATCTCGTGAGCTGTCTGCAGTCGAGCCCCTAGCCGATCTTCGCCTGATGGTACCACTCGGCGATGGCAAAGCAGTTCAAAAACAGCACCTTCTTGGCATCTATTGCTGCCAGTTCATCCGCAGGTTCTTCGCCTGCAGCAGAGTCGGAAACTGCTCCTTCGACAGAAACAGGCCGACTTCATGGGTGCTCTGCTTGTTCTTCTGGGCAATCTTCAAAGCCTCTTGCACAGGCTCCTCGGCCTATCTGTCTGTCTTTTTCTCTCTCTCTCTCTCTCTCTCTCTCTGTGTCCGTCCGTCTGTCTATGTATCACCTATGCATCTCCTATGCATCTATCTGCCTACCTCTCCACCCATCCATCCTTCCTTCCTTCCATCATCTATCCGTCTGTCTCTCTATCCATCTATCCATTTATCCGTCTGTCCATCCATCCATCCATCCATCCATCCATCCATACATCCATCCATCCATTCATCCACCCATCTATTAATCTATGTGTTCATGCACTATAATCGTCGCTGCCGGCCGGAATAGTAGTCGCCGTCGTTGCTGATTTTCATATTGTCGTTGTTGTAGTTACTGTTGTCGTTGTCGTTGCAGTTGTAGTTGTAGTTGTAGTTGTAGTTGCAGTTGTAGTTGTAGTTGTAGTTGTAGTTGTTGTTGCTGTTGCTGTTGCTGTTGTTGTTGTTGTTGTTGCTGTTCTTGCTGTTCTTGCTGTTCTTGTTGTTGCCGTTGTTGTTAATGTCGTCGTCGTCGTCGTGGTGGTGGTGGTGGTGGTTGCGGTGGTGGTGGTGGTGGATCCGAGGCCCCGGCAAGAAACGCCAGTGATCCTCGAAGTCTTGGAAGAAGTTCTGCGGCAACCTGAGTGTACAGGCCTGCGGATTAGCGGGACAAGTTCACATTTGCTGCTTTCTGGAATCTGGGCACCCGCTCGCAAGGCCCAGCTCCTTGAGATGCGAGGCGGTGCGCTTGCCCTCAGGATCCTTTCTCCTCTTCACAGAACCTCAGTGTTCTGTTGGGACTTCGGGTTCAATTTCTTTGGTTCGTAGGGTTGAAGATTGGCACTGCGAGAAATTTCTGGAAAAGGCGTTCACCTGCTGAGGCCTCCGGCCCCCCTGGATTTCTGGCATCTCCCGGCGACATCGGTCAAGGAAACATCTCAAACCGTCAAGAGCTAAGACATCACCTGGTATGTACATGGGCACTGGAAGATGTTGTGAGCCTAGGATGCCTGTTTGTTAGAGAGACTCGAGCCGCCAACGACAGTCCGCGCAATGTACCCCCCTGCATCCCACGGAGCAAAGGAAACCACAAGGCGTCAACAACCGTCAGACTACAGGGAATCATGCATAGAACACGCCTAGCAGGCACGCGAGCGGCCGACAATGAATCCCGCGCGCGCGCGCGCCACCGGACAAAGCAGAACCCCACCACGAATGCTTCAGCAAAATCGTCCTCCGGCGGGTGCAACAACGAAGTTCTCAGCAACTGCTGCCTCTGCCTCCGCTCTCCTGGAAAGGGCCCTTGCGCACGGCGCGGCGGACGACCCATTAGAGGACTCCCTGGGGCTTGGATTGCCAAAAAGGGGTCATGGATCCTCAAATGCAGACGGCCCCTTCATTCCCCATTTGTGCCAACATGTGCAATTTCGATAGGGACTTTTTGCCCAGACTTCAGGCTCACGGCCTGAATTCTTCTTCTTCGGAGGCCAGCCGTGAACGCAGGGTGGGGCACAACTCCGCAAACATGGGGATGGTAAGAACCAACACTGATGGGCCCTTCCGGACTAGCTCCAAGTTCTGTCGAATCTCCTTTCACTTTCGCTCTTTCTGCTCTTTGCGTTTTGCGTGAGCCCCATTGGAGAAGACTCAGTCGCAAAGCTCGAACCGAAAGGACTTGACCAGCGCCAATGTTGCTGTTGCTTTGAACCCCCCCCTCTCGGTCTGTCGTCGTGGAGAGCAACCACCTTCCGGCCTTGGCCCCTAGCGCACCGTGACTTCGGGCCTCACATCCGAGCCATGGGAAGTTTAGGGTTTAGGGTTTAGGGTTTAGGGTTTAGGGTTTAGGGTTTAGGGTTTAGGGTTTAGGGGTTTAGGGTTTAGGGTTTAGGGTTTAGGGGTTTAGGGAAGTTGGTTTTGGTTGAAGGGCCTAGGGCTTCGCGGTGCGGAAGTCTTCAGGACCATAGGAGTTTAGACCTCGGGTTGTGAAGGACAAGGTTCCCAAGGCCTTACTCTTCGCCTGCGGACCGGAACAACCCCCCGAGATCTGACGGCGCAAGGTGCAACTCATCAGCACGTTGAGGTGCCACACAAGGTCCCTTGCGGGTGATTGCAGGTGCCTGTTGAATGGGTGCCAAGAACTTCCAGAGGCCCCCACAGAACTGGATGGTTCTTAGGTTTGTAGTTCAGGGTTGCCAATTAGCCGGCAGCCGCACTGCAGTGCCTGAAGGGCAGAAGTAAGCGGGGCTTGGCCACCATTGGGACCGTCTTCAAACAACATGCAGCAGCACAAGTCCCATATAGTCCCATGTGACACATGTCAGCCAGCAGTGGCTTCGCACAGAAGGCCCTCTTCGAAAGTATCCACCTTTTTCTTTCGTCGACAGGTGTTGGCCCGTGTTCGGCTCACACGCTTGCCGTCCTCAGCGTGGTGCATGTGCCGCAGACGTTGGACATGCTGAGAAGCCGACCAGAAGGCCGCAAATACTGTGGCCCGGACTCTAATCCAAGTCATTGCTCGATGACCTGGGGCGATGTGGTGCTGCAGCGCATCAGGCTGGAGGTCGGTGTGTCTAAGGATCGGAAAAAATCACCAGGGAAGATCAACTCCGAATATCACGGCACTGTCTCACGGAGGCGGTTCCTGACCCGAAAGCGCGTCTTCTTTCCAGCGTTACAATCCCTCAAGGCTCTAGAACAAACTCTTCGAAGTTCGAACGAAGCCGCGGAAGAGCGGTCTGCAGTGTAGAGTCTTTCAGCAGGGTTCAGCAGCATGTGCGATGTCACTATTATATACCTTCGTTATATCAGCAAGGCTGGTGCCCATAAACCCCAGGCCCTATATGCAGATCAAATGAGAGCTTATGGGTTTCCAGGTTCTGGACGCTTCTAAGAGCCTCGGAGCACAAGAGAATTTGCAGGACATGGGTACCACAAGTGAACTATTCACGAAGCCCTCTCTAAACAAGAAACGATCTCGTCCTCTCCCTAGTTTAGCTATGAAAAATCAAGCTTGGCACACAAGTCAGCGACTTGAAAGACTGGGAAGTAAATACCGAAACTATTCGGGAGGATCAATGTGAAGCACTTACTTACATGCCTAGCACTGCTACCCCGACAATGCAAACACATGCCTCTTAAAGAGACACGAGCCTTCTGTCTCCCTGAGCAACGGTTGGCGACTTCGCCCAGCACATTCACAACGGAGGAGTTGGCGACTGTACGTTCCTAGGACCTCAAACAGCGTGTACGCCCATCACTCTATAGGCTCTACTTGGAGCCAACTGGCCTTTCCATGCCGGAGCAAACAGCTCGCTAGAGGATTTTGCATTTGTCGATGGCGTCACCTTACTTCCGCCGTTGACAAAGTGGTGGGCTGTGTTGGACCGGAGTTCTTCCATGTCGCAAGAGACCGGAGTGCAACGGAGAAGACTCGCAACTGCGGCCGGACAACACTCACTTGGGTTTTCGCTGGTCTCATGTACCCGGGCGCTGACAAACGCTGGTTAAGCGCATAGTTGGCTGAACGCCGTATCCGAACCAGCACCGGTGCGGGATGGTTGGAGGCAGGGTGTAAGCAAGTCCGCCTGTCGCTCTGGTCTCTTTGCCTGTCCTCCCCTCTTATTGCCCTCCCGTAAACTCGGCAAGCACCTCCCTCAATGCACGCTCTGCCACAGCCGCAAAGCGTGGATTTTTCTCCATGTAATAGGGCAGAGCCATCACCGCCATCGAAAGAGCCCACCCCCGGCCGCGTCGCCAACAGGCATCGTCTACGTTCAACTCCCGTCGGAAGCTTTTCCGCCCTGCCTTTGAGAACAGCCACCAGGCAACCAGCAGATCACAAGCTGGATCCCCGACTCCCAAGCCGCCAAAGTCAATGACCGCCCTTAGCTGGCCATCTACAGCCAAGAGGTTCCCTGAGTGCAGGTCTCCGTGAATCCAGCATGGAGTGAAGGCGGCGTCAGCGGCCAAAGACTCTTCCCAGATCTGGGCAACGAGGGCCGTCTCCAGCTGTGACGTCTCCAGCTGCTCCAGCTGCACAAGTGCCTGGCGCACCTCTTTGTCCCTGTCTCGGAGGGGAACACCCCGATAAAAGTTGTGAGCGCCCGGCTCCGGCCCCCCTTCCGGATCGATACTCTGTAGCGCAGCCACAAAGCGGGCGAGCTCAGCTGCCCCTGTCTTTTCATCGGCTAGAGACTCCAGTGTTGCCTCCTCCCCAACCAACCACGGGTACACCGCCCATTGATAGGGATAGCTCTCAGTGGCGTGGCCGGCAGCGATCGGGACGGGTATGCTAAGCGGCAAGTCGGGTGCAAGCATCGCCAGCCACTGGGCCTCCTTCTCCATCTGGAGCTGCGTGGACTCGGCCAAAGGCAGGCGTAAGCAGCGCTCATCGCCGAGACGATAGATCGCATGACTCGTCCCGGAGGAATCAAAAAATCGGATGGGCAAATGGCTCCACTCAGGGAACTGGGTGGCGACGAGCCGACGCACAAGCTTCGTATCAATCCGAGCTTGGTCAGTACGTAGAGGCCTCGCCTCTGATTCGAAGAAGCTCAAGGTCGACCATGTTGCTAGGCTTGCGCAGCAGGGACCCAGCATCATGGGCCCCATGTTTCGGCGCTTCATCTGATTCCATGGGGTTTTCCTGGCGGCCATGATAGAATCGATGCAGCCAATTGAGCCTCATTTGATTCCACGATGGGTTTTCTGGTGCCCACCGACGCAAGCAGTTGAGCACAAGGCGGGGCCAAACCCCGGATGCATATCGAAAGGGGTGCTACGAGTCTACTTGCTATTATTGCTATTGTCATTCAGGTTTACCATCAGGTCTTGTAATTCTTATGCCAGTAGCTATTGCAATCGTTATTCTGGTTTCAGCTTGCAAGCGGCCTCCAATCGCTCCGGCAACTGATGGGCCGCCTCGCTGGCAACCTCCTGAGACGCCGAGCTGAGATCCCAAGTCGCTGCACGTCAAAAGAACTCTGCAAGGGCTACAGAGTGTAGGGTTCAGGGCGGTTTAGGGTTTAGGAGATACTGTACACATGATTACAAAAGTTGGTTGATTGACTGCCTCTACTTCACATGGCGCATACGAAGATTAGGGCAAGAGATCTCGGGACCTGGAACCAGCGCAGCAAAGCCGCATTGTGGCCCTGCCTGCAGCTGCCGCTTTTCTCTGGCTGCAGTGTTCTTCTCCAAGCCTTGGATTCGAGGGCGAGCTGACGGCAGAAAAGCAGCGAGACTCTGGGCTCCGACTTCGGAGTGCCATGGACAACTTCGCCAGGCTCTCGTCATCGGAGTCAAAGCTCGAAGAACGCCTTCCGAAGCCAGAGTGCAGCAGGGCGCAGCACTCTCGTGGGATCTGCGCTCCACAGGAACCCGTATACACCAAGGTCCAGGCGGATGCATCTCATGAGCGCTGGAGGTCTCCCCGGTCCTTCTGTCATGCAGCAGCCCCTTTGAACGGCCCCTTCCTCGCGCCAGGGCCCCGGCCCACTCTGCCCGCGCTTGCGCAGTCTGTGCAGGGCATCAGCACTGCGCACTTCGCACTTCGGCTGCTTTTTAAGAGCTTCTTCCGGAGCTTCTCATGCAGCTCAGGAGGCCTCTCTGCCATCTCTGCCTTCTCGCTGGCTGCATCTGCCGGCCCAGCCTGAGGGGCCGCTTTCCAACCCGTCCCGGCCACACGTGGACAACGGAGGGCGCCCTCAGCTCAGGGCAGCAACGACCCGCGGGTTGTTCGCAACCAACGGATCAGGGCGTGCCTTCAGAACAAGAGGGCTCTTGGGGCGGGCCTACACACCAGAGACGACACGACAACCCTGACCCCACTATATCCACTCGAAGACACAATACCAACACTACGGCTTGAACGGCCATTCATTTACCCAAAGCCTACGTACTACGGAGAT